AGTAAAGTTAGTATACTAAAGAAAGTTTTTAGAATAATTAATCTTAATAATCTTATCTTTTACTTTATCTTTAAATCCTTAATAGAATATAAAAATCTTAGTTTCTTTAATAAAGTTAAATTAGATACTAAGTTATCTAAATATAGTAGTATATTCTTTAGTAGACTTTATCTATTATAGTTATATAAGATCTCTTTTAGCTTATTATTTCTTATTAAAATCTTAGAAGAGAAAGTAGAAAGTATTTTTAAATCCCTTAAAACTACTATAAATATTATAGGTTTTAGTAGAGTATTTATCTAAAGTTTTATACCTAAAGAACTCTTTTTAAATAAGTTTAAACTATTTAAAAACTTATCCTTATAAGTAGGTAGTAGTATAAATAACTTTCTTAGTTTAGCTAGTAAAATCTTTATAGTAGAAGTTCTAATAGTTCTTAACTTAGATTAAGAATAATTTAAGTTATCTAGAAGTACTATTATAAATAATTAGAGTATTAAGTTTAAGTTTCTATTATCCTCTAATAAAAGTAGTAATTATATTAGTAGTAGTTTAGAGAGTATTAAGTTCTTCCTAAAGTTCCTAAACCTTTTTAAGATTAATATCTCCTCTAATATCTTTTTCTAGTTTTTTAAAGACTATTATAGTATTCTAAAGTTATCTATTAAAGTTCTTAATAACTTACTTACTCTTATTTATAAATATCTATATTTCTTTAGATTTAGTTTCTTATTTCTAGATAATATATTAGAGTTTCTTATAACCTTCTTTAATAAAGGAACCTTTTCTATTAAAGTTATACTTAAGGTTTAGTATATTATAATCTTTAATATTAGTAAGTTCCTATACTAAATTCTAAGACTAGTTATATAAAGAAGATAAAGATCTTAAGGTAGAGAATTTAGCTAAAATATAAGAGGATATATTTATCGTTTTACTATTAGTATATATTAATAGTTAACTTATTAAATAGAAGTAATTAAAGTGTTATAGTTAGCTATCTAATAGTAAGGTCTACTAATAGAAGCTAGGGATTAATATATTATAATAGTATACTAAGGTTATAGTTTAAGTTATAAGTTATAAGCTAATAGTAGATTAGGTCTTTAGAAGCTAAAATAATTAGTTTTAAACTTAATAAGTAATTTATAGTAAAAATAAGCTAAAAGTATCTATAAGGATAAATACTAAGTTAATTACTAAAGAGTTATAGAAGTCTAACTATAAACTAAACTTAAGGTTATACTATATATAAGTCTTAAATAGTTCCTTTATCTAGTTACTAATTCCTAACTAAGTACTAATAAGTACTTAGTAATTATTAGTAAGTACTTAGTAGTCCTTACTAAGTACTTAGTAATCTATACTATCTATTTAGTCTTATTTTATTATTATATAACTTATACTATAGTTCTTCTATTTTTAAGTAAGTCCCTACTATTCCTATAATCCTATAGTATAAATATCCTATCCTAGCCGCCTAACGCCTAAGGTAGGTCAACTAACTATTATCCTTATTTATAGGTTATAATATAAAGAGATATAATAATAGCCTTTTTATTATAACCTTTTAGCTTAAGTATAAACTATTATAAGTTGCCTTAAAGTAGTATTTATAGATATTAGTCCTCTATATAGTAGTATAGTTCTTCTTTAAGAGCTTAAAGTATATACTACTAAGTTATATTAAAGTAATAATAAGAGGTGAAGTTAAAAATATATACTTTTTAAACTTAGTATATAATAAAGCTAGTTATAGAGGTAATTATCTTATAGTCTATCTTAGCGTTAGTTTATAGTATATATATATATAGGTAATTATTATATAAGAGCTCTTTACTATATAGCAGTTTATTATAATAGTAAAGGCTTAATATAGTATATATACTTTAATAATACGCCTAGAGGTAAAAAAAGTACTCTACTAATAGTAAGGTATAAATTAATAAAGTACTATATATATAGTAGTAATAGCTACTACTACTAAGGGTAGTAATATTAATAGTAGTAGTAGTAGTACCCTTAAGAACTAGTAGTATGCTATTAATAAGGTTAGAGAGATCTATAAGGCTTATGTTAAAATGTAATAGGATAGATAGAGGGGGAGAGTAGTAGAGGGTAAAAAAAAGAAAACTTTCGCTATATTAAGTGAGTAAGTACTTACTACTATTTTTAGGTATATAATCCTAAAAAGTAACCTTAAAGTTAAACAGATTAGAAGGTAACTCTGGCCTTAGAAGACCCCCTATAGTGCCCCTTCCCCGGACCCACAAAGTACCGCACTAACCTTTAAGACCGTGGGATAGGTGTAAAAACGCGAGATTTCCCCCCCACTTAGAGGCTGAGGACACCGTTTGCGTCATATGAGGATCGGATCACCACGGGAATTCCGGCCGGCCGAGTGTCGGGTTCATCAAGGCATTGTGAACATTAAGGTTTGATAGAGCTATCTAAGCCTGCCCATTCTCTCTGAGCAGACGGAGATTTGTACCTGTCAAAATGATGTAGATTGTGTCCAACGTCGGCGTCGAAATGCCCAGTTCTTTGCCCTTCTTGTATGGGTAGCCGAGGATAATATCCACCTCCATGGGTCTTCCGGCCTTGTAGTCGGCCTGCATGCTGCTGCCGATTGGATGCATTGCCAAGATCTTGTTGATGAGCTTGTCAATCAGGTCATAGTCGATGGGGACGTTGCACCCCTTGGCGACGTCAATGACCTCGGTCATCAGACGTCGTGTCAAGGGCGTAGCGCCGTCCGACGAGCTGAGCCAAGAGTGGGTATCGAGAAGCGTCAGGGTCGTGAGAGAGTTCCACGCGGCATTCCACACTACCTTCTCCCAGCGCTGGACCTGGATGTTGGGGACCACCTGAAAGACAGTCTTGCCCTCTGTCAGGAAAGTCGCGAACTCGTCTAGGCGTTGCTTCTCCGCACTCTGGTCTGCATCATTAGGGTATAGTCCTATTTGCATGTCCTCTGACTTGGTGTGGATGATGTTGCCGGGCTGCGGCTGAGAGGCGCCAGTCCAGGTCTAGTCTCGTCAGTTTCCAGGCAGCCGGGAGAGGACCGGGTTCTGGGTACATACCACACATGAGATGACTGTCGCGTGGGGGAACGCGCTGCGGAATGGCACTTCATTGCCAACCCCGTTTTGGATAATGACTATAGTTGACCTCTTCTCGTCCACCGCTGGCGCTATTTGCGCAGGGACTGCATCTTGGGTAATGGCTTTGTGGGCACAGACGATGTAGTCGAACTTTGCATCTGCCTCGGCCGCAGTCTTCACAACTACTTGCTGTCAGACCTGATCTAATTCAATAGATTCATGGATCGCATACCTTTGTATGGGCGTATTGTGTGCTCTCCATGATTCTCGCTCTTCAGAATAATTCCATTTGCTTTCACGGCATCGTAATTTGACCGCGCCACCACCGTTAATCTGACTGCAGGCACCCTGCTCAGGATGAAAGCATAGAATGAACCGATGCTTAGAGGCTCTAGTCAGCAACTGAACATTTATCACACACAACATTGAAGAAGTGACTTACGCCCCCAGTCCATAAAGCAGGACCTCGGTCTGTTTCTCGGTGGCCATGATGGTGTCAGCGATGCGTGTTGGGATTCTCCAACTAGAAGTCCAATTGGGATATAATCTATTGCCCAGGTGAGGTGACAAAGTGTGATTGTTGCTGCCGATTGTGCTTTTGGTAAAGCTCCCCTCATTCCACCAAGTATTTGTACGCGATTACTTCGGAAAAGTAGCTCAGAATCGATAGACTGTCAGCGGACACGTTCGTGCTAGCAAGCGTGCCCCTCCCCCGATGTTCGGTGCTAAGCTAATACCAAGCACTCTGGGGAACCCTTAGCACCTTTTCGATCGGAAGGGTGGTCAGTTGGGGGTGCAGCTTGGGGTTCATGCTCATTGGAGTTTCGTGGGGGTCACACACGAGTCGGCCGATCAGGGCTCGGGGTCGTGTCCGACGTGGAGCTCACCTTGTTTCCCCTCACTTCTCGGTCATCTTCCACGGCGGAGGCGGGGGAGCCGGCACTCGGCCATCGCATCTTGATTGAAGGCCTCAGATGAGCGCATCTCGGGAAACCTGTTGCTCGGGCCCTCTATGTGTTGAAGATTACGTAGAGGACCCTATATTCCATCAGTGACATCATAGAAAAGATCAACTTGAAGGTCACGCAAATTGCATGTTATATTAGACCTCATTCAATTGTGTCACTACAGAAATAGGTGGTACTGTTGAGCCCATCATAGTGAATACAAAATTGACCGTGTCGACAGCATTGAACATTATTTCCTGCAGCACAAAGCTCGTCGTTGGATTGCTGCCTTTTTGACCGTCCAAGTGATGATGTCCTTTTCCCAGCCCAAACTCCTACCCTCGCAGCTGAGATGTCGATCTTTTGCGTTCCAGCTTCTCGCCCCAGTCCCGCGCGCAGTTGGCAATCTGCAAAGCTGTTTCTCGAATACGATTTGCTTGCCTCACTAGCCTCTGCCTCTCTGCTGGTGTTTTCGGCGACTTGCTTGATTCCGAACCTCCCTCCCTGACGCTGTGTCCCCACTCATCTGCCGACCTTGCAACCAAACGCGCCGCATCCTCGATTCTTTTTCCTGGAGGCTCTGTGCCATCATCGAATAGGCAATCTTGTGGCTGTGTCGACATGACTCCTGCAATCAGATTCCAGACGGCAATAAGATCTTCCTTGGGAATTGATGGTGAGATGGTGGCAGAGATGGACCGACGTTCCGCTGAATAACTCCGGGTCAACCGGACAGCCGATCCCGGGCGGGCGAGAGCCCGGGCTATCAGGCAATTGCTGCATGCTCCGCCATGAATGCTCGGAATTTTCACGCATTCAGGTGACACACCTTCTCCCCTCTGACACTTGGGGCATTGCTGTTCTGAAGCCTGCACTTCTCCTCTCTCGTGAAGCATGATGGCTTCTACAACAGGAGCTTTGGACACATCTGGTGGTGCCTCGCCTGATCGTCCCCTCCAAGCTCTCCGAACTGGCAACGAACCAAGCTGCCTCATAACTTCCGTTGGTACTTTTTGCGCCTGCGATGTCAAGTCTGGTCGAATCGCGGCAGATGTCGTCTCAGTCGTGTCTTTCTGTCGACCTCGAGCCCCGTAGGCCGCCTGGCCATGGGCCAAGTTGTCTCCCGAGACATGGTTTCGACGGTCGGATGCTGTTCCGATATGAGGCGTTTGTTGTGATGAAGCCGACTCTGAGGCTTCAGAGTTTACCGATGACCCATTTTCAAATCGAATCCGTGATGCAAGTGCCGTTGAAGGCATCCTGTTCTGTTCCTTCACAGCAATCTCTCCGGCCTTTGCCAACAGTTGGAGCGAGATGTCCGCAATATCCCTTTCATCGCCCATTACTCCCTGACTCACGGGGGCATGGCAATCAAATAAGAGTCCCGATCCCGCTCAAACCCGCCCACAAAGAGAACTAGAACAGAGAAAGGGCCCAGGAGCTGGTCGAGTGACCCCAAGAGAAAACAGTCGAACCTCGTGATGCACTACAGCTTGACGATCCACATCTCGACGGTACGAAGCCACGAGCCACTTATAATAAACATCTGCTCAAGCAAACCACGTCGGACCCTAACTTACGTAATTCTATTGGTCATGTCGCCGACGTAGCGGGCGAGCTAAGTGGTGTTGATTGGCCCAGACTCATGTGCCGGGACGGTCAGATTTTGAGACCGGTTCTGGACTTTTCTCGAGAGGAGAACCGAGAGGAGACGCTCGCTGGGGAATCAGGCACTTTTGCTGTCTGGGTGGCCTTGAATCCGTGCCATGTCATCTAGCCAGCCTTAGTGTAAGGTGGCTTCAAGCTAGGGGTCTGGGGACAGTTCATACAATCCGACGGTGAGAGGACGATGGAACGACCGCTAGAGATGAGAATAATCCCCGATTGGATGGTCCAGATCAGCAGAAGGGCAGAATCGGGTCCTTTTTTCCGCGGCGTGGAAGCCCGAGAAACCGGAACTTTGACAGCTTCCCTCAACGTCCAGCTCATGTCTCAGCTGACTTGCGCGCGAGAGGGAGCCGGTGCCGGGGCGCGGTGTGGGTTGCCTGTTACCGAACATAGCCGGCCGGGCGCCGATCCGTTTGCTAATCTGAAATCTGGAAATCCCACCGCCAGACCGCGAGGGGCTTAGCGGAGGCGAAAGAACAGCAAATTGTACGAAGTTCTTTCCCTCTTTGGTATTGTTACTCATGTAGAATGAGAAGAAGCAGAAACACCCCCACGGGGAACATACAGGAGACTGCGCGTCACTGAAAAGAGGTTGAACGTGTTCCAGTGAGACCAGCGACAAATTCAGCGAGTCGCGTGCGCGAGGGGGAAACCACGCCGTTCCCACAGCGGATGTCACCGTCTCGCCTGATGAATGCACCACGCTGAGTCCGGGGTGGGCCAAAAGAGTGCAGGTACATGATCTGTTTGTGTCGGACTCTGTGGGGAAGAAACAGTGGAGATGATGGGGTAAGAAGAAAAGAAAGACGGTGGTGTTTGGAGTTTGGGAGATTGCCTGCCAACACGGGCTGCTGGGAAGTCGGAGCCGTGAGGCAACTGTCGGGGACTAGAAAAAGCACCCGCGGGATGGTCTCCGAATCTTTCGTTTCCACCGATCTGTGGGGGCTAGGTGGAAGCTCTAATGCTTCGGATTAGGGACATCTGGCCCATCGCAAAGGTGCCGGCGTGGGGGTCTTGGAGTCGGTCTGTGGCTACATGTACTACTTCCTCCAACTTGGGGTTGACTATTTGTGCGCATGACTTACACTGAGAGGCAAAAAGGTTGTGTTCGGATGATTATTCACAGCTTTTCTGATCAGTTCCTTGCCTCCTGAAATTATTTTTCTTTCCATAGGAGCACTGCTTACCACCACACTCTGCGTCCATTTGCGCTTTTATCAACTTCAACAACCCGCTACTCTTGAGTACGCTCTCCTAAATCGACTCCCGCCTCGTACCACAAACCCACAAAATCATACCATCATGTCGCCTTCAGCCAACGGCAACTCCACCCACAATGGCAATGGCAACGCCTCAAGACCGGCTCTTACGCCCGGTCTCTACGTCCCAACAGTAGCCTTCTTCCGCGCCGACGACTCAGTAGACGTAGAGACGACCACGTCCCATGCGATCCGCCTTGCCAAGGCCGGCGTCGCCGGTCTCGTCACCCACGGCTCCAACGGCGAAGCTGTGCACCTCGACCACGCCGAAAGACAACTCATCAACCAGACCACCCGCGCGGCCCTCGACTCCGCCGGCAAGAGCGACCTGCCTCTGATGGTCGGCTGCGGCGCGCAGTCAACAAGAGAAACCATCCAGCTTTGCCAAGAGGCTGGCGCTTCTGGCGGCGACTACGCCCTTGTCCTCCCGCCGGCCTACTACGGGGGCCTGCTCTCCACCGAACACATCCTGCAGCACTTCCGTGAGGTCGCGGATGCTAGCCCGATTCCGATCCTCATCTACAACTACCCTGGCGCGTGCAGTGGCCTTGACCTCAACTCGGACACCATCATCACGCTGTCGCAACATCCTAACATTGTCGGCGTGAAGCTGACCTGTGGCAACACCGGAAAGCTTGCCCGGATAGCTGCCGCTACTGTGCCCAAGAAGGGAGATACTGGCAGCCCATTCCGAACTTTCGGTGGCAGTGTCGACTTCACTCTGCAGACACTTGTTGTCGGAGGACACGGCATCATTGGTGGAACCGGAAACATCGCACCTCTTGCTTGCGTGAAGTTGATGAAGCTCTGGGATGAGGGCAAGCTGGCGGAAGCCAGAGAGCTGCAGGCTGTTGTTGCTCGGGGCGACTGGACGGCTATTCAAGGTGGGTTTGTTTCTGTCAAGGCTGCATTGCAGGAGTACTACAACTACGGCGGCCTTCCTAGAAAGCCTTGCGCGCTGCTTGAGGGCGAAAGGCTCACCAAGCAGTTGGACGGCTTCTCCGAACTCGTCGGCGTTGAGAAGAAGTTGCAACAATAATCACCTAGGTTAGGATGGGTTAGGGGTTGAGCAACGGACTGTATCACAGGTTTTTAGCGAAAATGCATTGAAGTCATATTACTACATCAAATGGCCGCTCCTTTGCGATGCCCTTTTTCTGACAATGAGTGCACAGAGTAAGTGCCAACAGCCGGACTGATAGACAAGGTTTTGGCTGCGCATTCAATGAAATCTGGGCCTCACGGACTTTCATTGTGAAACCTTAACACGATGCGAACATTTCGTATTTTCGTGCGAAGAATTTCTCACCATTAATAGGATTCTCAACAAACTTTGACTTTTGAAATCCCGGAATTCACGGGCTGGCGACCAAACCCTCCATCAGCTTGACAAGTCCATACGCCCCCGGATCGGGGCAATTCTTCCATTCCTCTCCACCCACGTACACGGATCTGCCCAAGCTCGCTTCCATGCCCTTGGTAGACTCACACCCCTTCCTCGCTGCCTCAACAGCGTCCTTCAAACTGCCACTCGCCGCGAACGTGGAGACGAAAGGCGCCAGGGCGTCAACTACCGTCCGGTCTCCCGGTTGCGCTGGTGTGTATTTTCCAAGAGCCGACAATGCAGACTGAAGAGCCTTTGCCCAGGTATCACTGGTAGCTTGCTGCACTTGTTGAATCTGCTGTGACTGTGCCCTAAGACCGTGAGCGAGGGCGTTCAAAAAGATGGCATAAAGTGCTCCGGAGGTGCCATCCATGTTGCCTTCGACAACACGAGCGATGTTGTCGACAAGCTTTCCGGCATCTGCTTCTAGGTCTTGCTGTTGATTGATGTATGCCAGTACTGCCTCAGCGCTGGTCTTCAGACAAAGACCACAGTCTCCATCGCCGACTAGTGTATCGTACTTGGTGACTTCCGGCTCTGCAGCAATTACATGATTCAGAGCACTGGCTAGGGCAGATTTAGTCACGGCGACGTCGACTAAGGAAGAGTCAGCTGGTAGTCTCTGGTATGGATAAATGTCGTTGGTAGGTACCTCTTAGATTAGTTCCTACAGATTCCTCGTCAGCGACAATGTCTTTCTCCTGCGAAGATGTCGTAGCTTTCCGGTTCTCAGGCAGGTCTGCAGTGGTGATGGTGGGCAACCATCCGCTAGCTTGGGTAGAAGCGTCGATTAGCTGGACCCAGCTCTCATCAACAACCTTCAGAAGAGTGATACTGAAGCCCGAGCCATTCAGGCTAGACATATAGGTACCACTCAGGACTCTTCTTGGCCGAATGCCATGTCCCTCCTCAAGCTGTGAAATGACCTCGTTGGTGATGGCGCCTAGCTCAAGTTGACTGAGACCACCAAGATTATTGATCATCAAGACAACCCTGTCCTCCTTCTGGATGCGGATGAATGCTCGGTCCGCGTCCTTTTGGTTCAGAAGTTGGTTTAGCATTGTGGAAACCACACCGGACAAACTGTCTTTGACCCGTCCGAAGCCTTCTTCATTGTGAATGCCCATGCCAATCTCAACCTCTTCGTTGGACAATAACTCATCTCCTGAAGGTGCCCTACCGGGCACGTGAACGTGAGAAAGAGAGGCGCCAACAGTGACGAGATTTTCAGCGACCTGAGAAGCCACGTTGTGAACCTCGGACAAGTCATGCCTGTTTTCAATGTTTAGCTCTGGCCCCTTCGAAGGCTATCATTCGTGCTTACCCTTGAGCTGCTAGAGCACTAGCAATCTTCTGAACAATTACCGTTCCAGCAAGCCCTCTCCTCCCGACTCTTCCGGACCTGGACCTTCCAACGCCGACATCATCGCCGACAACAAGCATATCGCACCGGATCCCGGCAGCTCGTGCCTTTTCTACTGCCATGCCAAAGTGCAGGACATCTCCGGTGTAGTTCATAATGACAACGAGGATACCGTTCTCCCGGCGCTGTGACCCAAGTCGAAGGAGGCAACGGAAGACTTGATCGGCGGAAGGCGAGGCAAAGATAGAGCCGGCCACCGCGCCAGAGAGAAGCCCCTTGCCGACGAAGCCGGCGAAAGACGGCTCATGGCCGGACCCACCGCCGGAAATGACGGCGACCTTCGGGTCGGTGATGGCGGTCTCCAGAAACACGGTCTTTTGAGCTTCATCAAACGCAACAGATGGATTAATCGCTGTGAGGGACCGCAGTCCGGCGATTACCAGCGCCGAGGGGTCATTCGAGAAATGTTTTGCTTGAGTCTTTAGTGTCAGTGATGCTGACGAAATCAAGTTGCCGATACCTTTGCGGGCGGATCTTACATGACATTTTTGGGGTATTCTTGAGGATTGCGAGCTGTGTCTAACTATCGAAGCATCCTTTCGAATCACTACAATCACTACTTAACATTATTCTTTCAAGCGTCCGCCGCCACTTTTCTACCTTGACCAACGGATTGACATTCGACACAAGAAGAACCAGCATCGTGGGATCATTTACTTAGCCCATCGCCAGATCGCCTCCACGCGGAACCACAAGTTGTCAGAGTGATGCCAATTGCCCTCTCATTCAGATGAGATGCCCCCATCGTGGCCCTCAACGGACCCCCAACCGTCATGGTTTTGTCAGATTTGTGTATGGTGCATCTCTCGCAACAGCCCCATTCTTTCTTCATCCCATCTGCATCGAGCTAACACCGACTTGGCTCCGACCATCTCGAGACCATGACCGTAAGCGGAATCCTCCCGACCCCCACGCAAGCACACCGTCGCTCCTAGCCCGATGTCCAAGCGGCTCTGCGGGTCCGGACTTGTGCGGGGCTGACCCCCAACAGGCCCGGTGTTTGTGTGCGGGGAGCGGGGACAAATCCGCGGGGAGGGGGGAGGGACCTGATCGGAAATGGTCTGATGCGTTCCTGAAATCCACACACCCTCTTCAAAGCCAGCATTCCCCGCAGGTTCCCCGTGGGAACGACTCGCGTGAGCAAGGACTTTGCTGGCGATGAGCCGAAACCCCTCACTTCGTGGCATTTCTAGATCGATCATACGTGTGGTGACACGAATCACCTGAGGTCCACTTCATGCAGAAGCCCGTATTGAGCCGATGGTCGGATCTGGGCGATGGGGAATAGTGCGGGCTCAAGCTCAACGTGGGGGTCGTCTACCTACGTGATCGCGGGGGAGGGGCTCGTGAGATTTGGGGATCAAGATGAGCTTCTTGAACTCTAGGTTGATATGAAGCCATGAACTAAGACCTGCGCAGTATTGACAGACAGATTACTGTAATTTCACACCACAAGTCACAGCACACACACAAGATGGCGAACATGATCGAAAAGCTATTCTCATTGCAGGGCCGTACGGCTGTCATTACTGGAGGCACGCGGGGTATTGGCCAGGCCATGGCAGTCTCCTTAGCCGAGGCAGGGTCGGATATCATTCTCATCCAAGTAAGCATCACCCCATTTACACGAGCCCACCTGTCGCTTACAGTACTCAGAGAGACGAGAGCAACAGAGAAACCCAGAAGCAGGTCCAGGCATTGGGCCGCAAAGCCACCATCTACACCGCCGACCTCTCAAATCAGGAGCAAGTGGAAGGCCTCACACAACGCATTCTAGCAGACGGCCATGACGTGAGCATCCTAGTCACCTGCGCCGGCATCCAGCGCAGACACCCCGCACACAAGTTCCCCATGGGTGACTGGGATGAGGTCCTGCAAGTTAACCTCAAGACGGTCTGGACCCTCTGCAGAGACCTCGGCGCCTACATGCTCACCCGCAGCCCGAACCCGGTTAACGGCCACCGCGGTAGCATCATCAACGTGGCGTCGCTCGTCAGCTTCCAGGGTGGCATCACAGTGCCGGCGTACGCAGCGGCCAAAGGCGGCATTGCGCAGCTGACCAAGGCGTTGAGCAACGAGTGGGCGAGCCAAGGTGTCAACGTCAACGCCATTGCGCCCGGGTACGTGGCGACGGACATGAACGAGGCGCTGATCAACAACCCCGAGCGTGCCGCCAGCATCTTGGCTAGAATTCCTGCGGGGAGATGGGGTACCCCGGACGACTTCAAGGGGGCCACGGTGTTTCTGGCGGGGGCGGGGAGTTTGTATGTTTCGGGTGAGTTGCTTACTGTCGATGGCGGCTGGATGGGTCGATAGAGTGGGTTTGAGCGCATGCAGGTGAGCGAAAGAGGATGGATCGATGGGCCTGCGGCCGGGATAGACCTGATCTAGAAATAAACAACCGTGATATTGGGACAACGCAGGCGTCTGGTGACTAGCAAACCCCGCTTGGATTACCCATGCCGGGACTTACAGTGGTTGGCTAAGACATGGCGATCTCTACAGGGCAAGGCAACAGACGGCATATCGGAGAATTTGATGAAAGGTAACGTGGGGGCATAGATTTGTACTTCGTCTCGTAAACCTGCGCACGAGCACGAGTGACATATATGGGAAAACGTGAACGGCTGGTACGCAGTTTATGGCACAACGCAATTTCAACAGAGTCAACAGACCGTTGTATTTTAAGTGTGCCAGAGCCCCTTTGAAAGAATACTTAGGCCATTCTAGGACTCAAATTATGCAAGCGCATCATCAAACTTTCGGCCATGTTTTCAGCGGAGGCTTAAGCTGCAGCAAGACTTAGTACTGCAATGCAGCTTGGTCCGTTGGTAAATGCAGTAATCTGGAAGACATTGCCTCTGCGTATTCTCTGAGTATCATCCAGGCCGCTACCAGACCAATTCAAACGCGCATGGTCATGATCATTTTGGGAATATAGTTCTAACGAGGCGTTTTGATCATGAACGATACAAGTACAGTCTAGTTCAATCTCTTCACCATTCTCTGATACTTCCATCAGGGCCATGAAAGACTTTGCATTGCCATGGCTCTGTCTCCTTGGAGATCTTCTCCACCATCTCTTCATCAATGTCAATGCCGAGGCCATAGCCCGTTGGTGCCTTGACATAACCGCCCTCAATGTCAAAGACTGTGGGATTCTTCAGATAGGTCAACAGGTCAATGTCTCCAGCTTCGGTGTTGTAATGCATTCCCAAACTCATCTCCAGGATAGAAAAGTTAGGGGATGACAGCGCAACCTGGACACTTGCAGCAAATGCAACGGGACCAAGCGGGCAATGTGGTGCAATCGCCACGTCGTAGGCCTCGGCCATTGTGGCGATCTTCTTGGTCTCGGAGATACCTCCAGCATGGGCGATGTCAGGCTGAAGGATGTCGACGCTAGCATCTTCAAGAAAGCGCTTGATGTCCCAGCGAGTGTACAGGCGCTCACCAAAGGCAATCGGGATCGTAGTCTGATCGGCAAGTTGCTTGATAGCTTCGGGATGCTCACACAACAACGGCTCCTCGATGAAAAGCGGTTGAAGGGGCTCAAGGGCTCTTGCTAGTTGCTTGGCCATAGCCTTGTGAAGACGGCCGTGGAAGTCGAGACCAGCGTCAAGACCCAGAGCCTTGACTTGCCTCAGCCGCTCAACAGTGGCATTCAGTACCTTAGGCGAGTCAACCCAGTTCAGGTCTTCCGTTGCGTTCATCTTGACGCAGGTAAGACCTTGCTCAATGCGCTTCTTGCTGAGGAGATGTCAGCGTTCGGAGGATACTGTCAATTTTTCGGAGTACTTACGCCGCAGCCTCAACATCGGAAGGTCTGTCTCCGCCGATCCAGCAGTAGACTTGGACCTTGTTTCGGACTTGGCCACCCAACAACTCGTAGATGGGCACTTTGAGGTTTCGTCCTTTCCATGGTGTCAGTTTATGGGTCAATCACTGGTCGGTTCCTTCAATTCCGTACCCTTCAGATCCCACAATGCAATATCAATACCGGACATTGCGGACATGAACACGGGGCCCCCGCGGTAGAAGCCATGTCTCCAGAATAATTGCCAGATGTGCTCAATGTTGCTATGAATTACCAGTCAGCGCTGAAAATTCGATGTTCTATGGGCTCAATGATGATGATCGTGAAATCTTACTTTGCTTCGAGACCAACAATCCTTGGGATCATCTCCTCAAGGGTGCCCTCGACAGCCAAGTCGTGACCCTCGAGAGTGGCCTCGCCCCAACCATACTCTCCATTCTCATCGGTGATCTTCACCATAAGCCATCGAGGCTTCACGCGATAGTACCGCACTGACTTGATCTTGGCCATGATGATGTCTGTGGGTTGGGTGGTCTGAGCAGTGGGGTATGCTGGCAAATCTGGGGAGGAGGTTTTGGAGTAAAGCTAGGCGGGGGAATCTGAAGCAATCCGGGGATTACACATCGCATTCTTAACAAAGCTTCAGACCATCGTCAGACCCCAACCTCGAAGTGCCACATGTGCAGTCCGATCCACCTACGGGTTTGGGGTCAATGGGGCCGTGACTCCATTAGCTTCCATGAAACATCCGCATAAGCCCCCCACCACCCCAACTTGACCCCCACGACAGCTGGTACACGAGGCACGGAGAGGCCATCCCACGATCCCCACTCATCGGGTCGCGGCACAGGCTGTCTCGGGTTTCTATCCGTGGCCATTTTGGCCATTAGCGTCTGGGTAGATGGAGAACGCGACGGTGGAGTGGATTTTCTTACCACATCGATTTCGAAGACGGGACCATTCCTGACCCACCTCCAACTCAGGTCCATATCATAAGCCACAGTCAGGACCAAGCCACTCGGATGCTGTTTTTCAAATCTGTGGCTGGAGACTTAGAGTCCTCAATGTCTTCCTATCGAAAAATTGTTGTATTATGAGATCTATCAATATGCCCGTCTATGATGTCTATGCCTCTATCCATTTTCATGCATCGTAAACCATTGGCTCGCAAGCCCGCCGGGTTCTAATCCCCATACATAGGGAACAACCGTCTAATTTCTTGTGTTTGTCAAACTTGGATCTTCGTTTGCGCCAACTCTCTCGGAAGTCTTCTCCCGTGAAATACCTTCCTCCTCGTCTCGGCTTTCGCTCGATGTGTCCTCCGGCTTCGTATCGTCAATTGGCTCCAGGCCGCGATCTTTGATTAACAAGCACCCGACTAAGCAAAGACCAACCAACGGAATCTGAAAGATGAAAACAGCACGACTCGCTGCCATGTATGCGTCCAAGACTCTTGACATGTCGTCGCTGCTGAGCTGAGGAATCGAGTACGTGCTGCTTGACAAGTACTTGAACTCCGCCGGAAGGTTTGCTCGAAGAGTCGCCTGAAGAATCGCAGCAGAAATAGCTAGACCGCATGCACCACCGGCGCACCGAAAAAAGTTGCGGTTGGATGTGATGACAGCTCGTCTCGACTTGATTGAGTGCGCCTGGAGTGCGACCAGGGTCGGCTGGAAGATGAAGCCAACGCCGATGCCGACAATCAGTAGCGGGATGACAATGATGCCCGGTTTCGTGTTTCGATCGAAGATCAATGTGAGACCGGCGCCCCTATGTCATGATTAGTTTCCTTGCTCGACTTTGATGCCACGGACCACCATTGGTGGTTCACTGGTTACATGTACTTACAGGGTCCAAAACCCAAATCCCAGCCAGATTACCTCTCCGTATCGCTTAGTACGAGATATGTATTGACCCGATAGGATCGAAAAGACCGACTGACAGACCACGAGAGAGACGTAAATGGCCGCTGAGTGCATCACCGAAAACTGGTGGGCATTTTGAAGGTACAGCGGGATGTAGTAAAGATAAGATTGATATGCAGCTCCGAACAAGAAGGTTTGCACCAACATAACCACGACAACCTTGTTCTTGAAAATCGGGACTAGCTCAACGTCAGGCCATCGATCCAATAGGGTACACGCATCAAAGGGAAACTTACTCGGCATCATTGGCAACTTGGCAAACTTCCACTCAACGATGATAAATGACACAAGAGCGAGCGCTCCAATGGTCAACATGCTAATTACCATTGCCGAATTCCATGGAAAATAGGCGCCACCTGTACTACGTGAGCAACGAAATTTCCACAAACGGACTCTACCAGCACCAACTCACCTCCCGAAATTGGAATAAGTAACAAAATGACGCCGAGAGACGAAGTGAATGACCCAGCGTAATCGATTTTCTTGACGCTATTTTTGAAATCGTCGTTGGGTGGCTTTGAAGGTAAGAAGAAGTAGCAGATGACTCCAACGATAACTCCGAGAGGTGATAGCATGTAGAAGAAAGCTCTCCACGTTGCCCTCTCCATAAAGGCAGCGGCAAGAAAAGGGCCAAGAACGTTTCCTAGCCCGACCATTGAACCAATGATGCCTTGGTACTTGCCACGTTGCTCGAGAGTTACAACATCAGACACAATGATCATGGCCAGGTTTGTGATACCGCCACCACCAATTCCAGCAATGCCTCGAAAGATGTAGAACATGGCCGCATTTTGTGAGAGCCCGCAAAGAAGGTCTGCCAATGCCAACAGGCCAATCGCACTCAGGAACACAGCTTTCCGGCCGAAGATGTCTGAGAATCGTCCATAAAGCATTTGGAAAGTAGTGTTGGCGATGAGCGATGACGTTCCCGCCCAGGATATCGTGTCTTCGGCATTGAGGTCGGCGGCGATTGTCGGTAATGTGATACTGATGCCATTTTGATCGATGAACGCAATAAGGAGGGTGATTGCCAAAGTTGCAAAAACGACCATCAGCTGCTTCAAAGGAAGTATATTAGTCTGATCGTGAAGAGCCTTTTCGGCCTTGGTGGTTTCGAGATCGCCCCTCATCATTCAACCCTTGTCGGCGATCAGTTGAAATGGGGCAACCAACATCCGATAAAAGCAGCACAAAAGATAATGCCAAGCGAAGTGAAAGATAAATGAGAGACTAGAAATTCGAAACCGTCTAACGTTGAGTCGACATTTCGCACGCTTCAACGAAAAATTTGACACCGGCAATCCGACATTGAGAGTGGACCTGTCCGGGGAGCCAAGACCGGATAGCTGTGGGCGAAGATTGGTTCATCGGCCTGTTTTCGGCTCCGGGCTCGGCGAAATGATCTGGAAGGCGAATTGATGTGACCATGAAAATATGGGTGCGTCATGGCTGACAGGGGCTTCGGCAACTTTTGAAGCGATCGTCTCCACAACGGTTTAGTCCACATCGGAGGATCCGATGCCGACGGTCGCTCAGCTGGCTAGCCAATTACCTGATGGTCGGATATCCGACAATATTTATCTGTGGAATTTTGTGGTAGTCGATGGTTATCAGAGACGCATTGGTCGTTTCTTGCTCGGCGAGGAAGACCTGGTTCTTATCAATTATCCTGAACTTGGAGGGTGTGGCACTGCGACGAGGGCAGTATGGGCTCAGTGATAAGGCGTCTGTTCGTTATCTACATGATGTTTAAGATCTGCAATGGACTGAAAAAATGTCGATTTTTGATATTAGCGATTGCAGTGCACCTTTCGTGAAACATTTGCCGAATAGCGTCGCCCATCTCGTTCACGACAAGCTGTGATGGGTCAAGCCGCGAGACTGCGGAGAGCTTTCTCCTCCCGAAAAGAGTTCAAGAAATTCATTCAGACCAAAGAGCATCCCGATGATGGTCCAGCTTATTTCAACGAAGATTTGCTTCCAACACCGCCCTGTAAGAACGCAACGTGAGAAGAAGACAGCTTGGAATTCATAGCTAACAGCGTCGTAGCTCAGCGTACATGGACTGCGTTGCATTTCTTCGCATATTACTTAACACAGACATTTTCGCCTAGCTCATATAACCTGGGAGCAACTCTAATCTCTATCGGCCTTGTGAGCTTCGTTACTTGACCTGTCCCAGCCGCCAGTCACTAACTCAAATACTTCCAGCAATGGTGGCACGGTATTGTCGCAGCTGTGATCGGCTCAGCTATTCTGAGTGTCGTTGTTATTCTCAACTCTCGCGGTGCAACTCGATACCATGTCGGCTTTCCCGTCTACGTCAGAGCCGCTGCGGGGGTTAGCGGTGCAAAACTGTTCATTGTGGTTCGCGCCTCTGTCGCCATCATCTACTTCGCAACCCAGTCTTTCTATGGAGGCATGCTCACGTCGGTCGCTTTGCGGGCTATCTTTGGTTCGGGATGGGACAGAATCCCGAACAGACTTCCCGCCAGCGCCGGAATCACATCCAAAAACCTACTCGCTTTCTTCATTTTCTGGGTTATTCAATTCCCAGTCATGTTTGTGCATCCAACGATCTTACGCCATTTGTTCGTTGTCAAGTCCGTGGCAACGACTGCCGGCCTGTTCGGTGTGATGGGATGGGCCATTCACATGAATGGAGGAACTCTAGGAGATTTCGACTTTGGAGGGAAGTCTCTGAGTGGCTCTGCACTTGTGTGGCCCATGATACAGGCTATCAACAGTGTCATGGCAGCACTGTGCCCCATTCTTGTTAACCAACCCGATGTTGCTCGGTATGCCACCAAGCCCGCACAAGCAACATGGTCTCAGGCTACCGGTATCCTTGTTAGCAAGGTTTTGGTCATGTTCCTGAGTTGTGCAACAACCAGTGCTGCTGCAGGATTTCTCGGCAAGAGCTACTGGAACGTTTGGGATCTCTACAACGCCATCCTGACTGAGTACTGGGGCCCTGGGGCAAGGGCAGGAATGTTCTTCGCGTCCGCAGTGAGTCCCCTCTTTCCAGCCGGATTCCGGTAAGCTGCTGCTAACATGCGCGTCTTATAGGGCATGATCTTGGCGATTATTGCAACGAACGCTGGTTCAAATTCATTGCCAGTTGGTGCCGATACAAGCGGACTTTGGCCCAGGTACATCAACATCGTCCGTGGCCAGGTTATCTGCGCACTTCTAGCACCGCTTTGCGTTCCATGGAAGATCATCTCCAGCGCTAGCTCATTTCTTACATTCCTAGGCTCATATACTGTCTTCCTAATGCCAACCTGTGGGGTATGTACCTAATTGGATGAGCGAAGAAAGAGAATTCCATCAATCTGACAAAGGCCATAGATTATGATCGTCGATTACTGGATCTTGCGTCGCGGCAACTTTCATGTTCCGAGCTTGTACACCAAAGCCGCAGGATCTCCATATGCATATCTGAACGGCTGGAACCTTCGGGCTATTGCTGCTTGGATTGCCGGCGTGGCATTTACGGTCCACGGTATCGCGGGCAGCCTCGACCCAAACGCCGTCAATCAAGCCAGCAAAAACATGTACAAGCTTGGGTTCTTGTTATCTCTCACGATGGGAGCATTGGTGTACTACGTGGCCTGTCTAATCTGGCCGCCACCCATTTACCCCGAAGGAAGCGAGTCTGAAGCGACGATGGGCTTCGAGGATATGGCCTCCTCGGAAGGCTTCTTCGCAGGCGAAAGCGTTGACACAATCCGAGGAGTTATCTCTGCCGTCGATGATGTAAACATAAGTCGAGTTGATGCAAAGGGTACAGGGACCGAGTCAGTCAGTGAGAAGAACATGGTGTAATCTTTTGCCCTCTGGCATCGGTGGGAAAAATGTAGTCGATTAACTACTATTCGTATGTGGAGCACCGACATAGATATTAGGCCCAGCTGCATTAAACCATCCATCGAATCGTTGCACCGTCCGCCTAGTCCTAGTCGTTGCCGGAGAGGCTTTGCAACAATTCAAAGTTGGGCATCCAGACAGGGCTTCCGCTGTCCTGATCGATCCAGTTCGCCAACTCGGCGACCATGGGCCAAGCACCTTCGAACCCCCCACCCGCAATTCCAGAGTCTCCAACGCTACCCAGAAACTGGTCGAAGCTTTCATCAGTCATTTGTCCCACTTCCCTCTCACCGGCAGCTTCCTCGCTCTGCCCGTTTATTGTCGTGTCCTGTTGTCTTCCTGCACGCATCTGAGCTGAGGCCATTTCCGCCAAGCCAGATTCACCATCTTGAAGCTTCTCCATAGCTGCGTTCACAAGAACTTCAAAAGCGTCTCTGTATTTGCGAACCCAAGATGCTCTCTCGCCCATGACAAACAGCACTAAAGAGCAAGCACGGATGTCATTTGCAAGTGCTACTGACCAAAGCTCATTGCCTTGTGTCCAGAGTCCATAAAGAAGAGTAACCCCGGCGACGAACACAGTCTGAACGGCAATGAAGCTGTGACCGTAGTCAAGGGTCTGATGGAGCCTCTTGTGAGCCTGGCAGATATCCCCCGCAGCTCTCATGCACAGTCCGTAGAACTGGTCAGAAGGCGGGAGAAGAGGTAAGAAAGGCTGAATTAGAAGCCTGAGAGCACGACTGTACAGCAACAGAGCGTAGTTGAGTTCGGGATGATTCGGTGCCATCCACTCATTGAGCGATGCACGCCAACTCTGGAGCCGTTGGTAAAGACGATCAAGTTTTGGTCGAAGGGTATCTAGGGCTTTGTCTGTTCGGTAAATGGAGTGGTGAATCTTCGACTCGATTCGGCGGAGCTTGAATAGCACAACTGCAAGTGTTATATCGTTTCCAACAGTCCCGGATGCAGATGAGCTGCTGCTGTTGATGCAAGTATCAGGGAACTCTACATCAATCTGGTTGTCCGCGATACTCAAGGGTCGACCGAGTGAGATGGCGATCGTCCGCTCTAGTAAGTAGACAGACCAGAATAGTCTTCGCCTGCGCTGAACCACGGATTCAGGAAGATTGTTTTCGTGAGCTGCGCGGTGAAGCCCAAGATCAATGGACGTCCTCATTGCCAGGCCAATCATGTACCACAGTCCATGGCTAGAGGTCGATCGGAGATGGAACATGACCAACAACGTCATCGCCTCAATATTCTGCACCGTCCGCGATTCCCTTGCCGCAGATATGTGCTGCAGCGCAGTTATGTAGAGGGCCTGTGAATATGTAAGCTCAGGTGCATCAATTTTGCAGCGGCTGTAAAGAGATAGGGACGTACCTCCGGGGAAAATCCCGGGCCACGCTGTGTCAACTGCACCAATGTTGCACCCATAGCATAAACTAAGTACAGCTTAAACACACCAAATCTTTCAGCCTTGCTCAAACTTTGCGGCGGAGTTGCCGCTAATGCGACTCTTTCGCCATGCAGCTTCCACAATTCCTCGGGCTCGAGAAAAGGGTACTTGGAGTGCAGTTGGGATATGTATGCCCTCAACATCTTTGAACCCTGCTCATCACTCGGGGGCTCTTTGACACCATGAGCCAGAAGATCCTCAACTGTGAGGCACCTAGGGCCCGGGTTGAGGCAACCAGTTGACCGATTGGCGCTTGCACCGTCATGAATGTCTGGCAACATCTTGTTCCAGACAGTAGCTTGCACCATCTCGCCGAGGTTGAGGGCAAGCGACAATCCGGCGGAAGGTCCAACGTAGGCAGGAGCCTCGAAGTTCCCTAGCGACACGTGTGCAACCACGTCGCTCAGAGCATTTTTGTCCCTAGTTGAGTGATTGGAGTGAATACTGGCGGTCTCTCTGGGGGTCGAGTTGGTTTCCGGCGTAGGAATTTGAGCCAGCTTGTTCTCCAAGTAGGCCACCCTTTCTTCTAATGCCCGGGTGTATCTGAATCAGTCTTCAGCTCACGTTCATTAAACTTCCCTCATGAGCTTATACTTACGCAGTCGATGAAGCTTCATCTGTGACATCTACCTTGTCGCATTGAGCGCCTGACCTACGACAGTTCGAACAGACCGGAAATTGGTCGTCACACTTCAAAATCAGATAGTTTTCCCGGAATCCTTAACAACTCTAGTCGATTACCTTTTGCTTACGGCTTTTACATCTTGTGCAGGCCGTCCTTCCTCTCTTCCTAGGGTTCGGAGGGACTCCGGCTGAGGAGACTGGGGGCGATGAAGCCGGGGGATATGCGTCAGGTGTCATCTCCGCAGGCTGTTAACATGAGATGCCCGCCAAGAAGCTCGACTGCCAAGTTGACCGCAGCGCTGAGCGAGACTGCGGAGGCGGATGTCCGATTTACATAGATGTCGGTTGCGATCACCGGTGCCGATCTCGCCTTCAGACAGCTTTTTCTTCGTCGGACGACTTCCGTGAGACACTAGTCCCACTTCGGGAACATTCCGACGCAGCAGCCGTCGCACTGCCGATCGGACGTTCCGACACTTGTGTTTCGAGCAGCCAGTGAGAGGGTCGAGTCAGCCATCATTAGCAATCATCTCTTTCTCAACGAAATGTCTTGGCTATGCAGGCTGGGGATAGTGATCATGTGCTAACTACACAGAGCTACTACTAGGGGTCTCAACAAGCTGCTTCGCCTTTTGTACCAGAAGGTTTACTGTACATCGACGTCGGTCTTGTAAATGGACGTTCAAGACTTCATAGAATTTTTCTAATCCTCATAACTAGAACCCTATCTCACACACCCTTCATCCACTCGCCATTGGGTTTGTACGGAAATTCGGCCCTCATATGCTTAGCAATATCTCTTCGAGTCGTGACCCAAACCCCCTCTTTCTCTGAGATGTATTTCATGAACTTTCTCAGGGCCTCAGATCTTCCCGGCTTGCCAATGATGCGCGTATGCAACGGGATGTTCATCAGCTTCCCGCCCTCTCTGTACAAACAGTCGAAGGTGTTCTTGAGATATTGCTCATATGTCTCAGCGACAGAGCTGCCGAATCCAGGTGACATGTGAAACTTGCCATCATTGCAGTCATAGTTGTAAGGGATCAGAAGCATGCCTTCTCTCTCAGCTTCTGGCAAGTCTTTCTCCCAAGGCAAGTCAAGCCAGTAAGGCACATCGTCGTTGTAACACTCCGAGGACCAGAGAAACTCTCCACCCAGGCTCTTCCAAACCTCTGGGAACAAGGAAGGAGTGTTTGGGGTCCCGCGGCCGAAATAAGCACCGACCGGCATCTCGCCCGAAACCTCTTTCAACATCAAGATGTTCTGTTTGATATACTCCTTGTCTTCTTCCAGAGAGTAGTTCCAGATGTCGAGCCACCTTAAACCATGGCAGGCAATCTCATGGCCGTCGCGAACCAGGGCTTTTGCAAAGGTCGGGTTTCGTTTCAGGGCGTAAGCAACGGCATACGTGGTGAAGCTCCACCCAAACTCCTTGAATAGTCGAATAAGACGCCAGGATGCAGAACGGCTGCCATACTCAAAGTCTTGCTCGGCGTTGAGGTATCGTGCACCTTCCTTATAACCACCAGACGCACCCTTTTCCCATAGATATGGCTCCGAAAAAGGATCGCCATCCAGGATGCTTCGCTCCCCTCCCTCTCTGGATTTTCCATCAGCCCGTGATACTCGTTAAATGATGCGCAAATCGAAACTTACTCATAGTTGAGGACAAAAGACACGGCAATGCGAGCACCGTTGGGCCACTTTGGATCAAACCCCTCCTCGCCGAATCCTAGACATGATGATGTTAGACGCACATGTTTCGGTTATTGGACCATTACTCACCCTCAAAGTCGCGAGGTATCTGGAGACTCTCCTCGATATGCACCATTTTTGAAGTTGTTAAAAATTGTCGGTGTTGTTCGAATGTTCGGACAGTCTCAGGCGAAACTTATAAATGAGCCATCCAAGATCGATGGCTTCAACGGAATCTCGTACTTGTCGCGACAAGCAATGCATGCCCTTTAATACAACATTTGAAACCCCCAATACGCATCCTCCATAAGTTAGCCGCAGAAGACTATCGGGTTGCCCCTCCTCCGAGAACTAATTCAACTTGCGATATCTTGCGGGGTACGCGGATGGTGGGGTTGATCCTTCCTAAGATAAGGACATAGTGGGGTTGATCGAGCTGCACTGCTACCGGTTCACGGTCGCCGATGACCTTTTCAGAGAGAAATCGGATGATCCGAATGTAGCGAATTCTTTGCGGGGAGTTGATAATAGCGATAAGATATCGATCCAGGGCTTCCGGACCTATCTAAGAGATTAGGTATGGGTTAGAACTCCTGCAGACACTCAATCTATATTGGCTTGAATGATATCAGCTGGCTTTGATCGCGAATATTTTGAATCGGGTCTCAAGTTCACGGAATGCGCCTTTTTGAGTCTAAATCTCGACACTGATCCCGAAATGTCTGTCTTCTCTTTGAACGTCGACAAGACAAACCCCGTCACGGCGGAGGTTCTTGACGATAGCCTCAACGCGCTGGGTGTTACTCTGAAAAATGATGAAAAGGATGAGTACCAAAAACTTCTTGCAGTGTTCCACGAATCTGTAGTCGGAATAATGTCTCTTCCTGGTGAGTGCCGTGTAAAACTTTTGTCAAGCTAGACTAATACCATTTGGCAGACTACGTACCGCCAGTAGATGAGGTCAGATTTCCGAGGGAAGACATTCACTTTCCTGACTCGTCCGACAACCTCCTATCAGCGTGGGCGTGGAGATGTCGAATTGAGGACCAGCAGAAGAAAGGAGGCCTTCTTGCTGGAAAGACGGTTGCTGTCAAAGACAACATAGCTGTAAAAGGGGTTCCGATGCTTATGGGCACCGACTTTGTAAAAGATTATGTCCCTGTGAGACACTCTTCCAAAA